CTGTTTGGCGAACTCGACGGTCGACGGTATGTCCCAACCGTTTTTCACGCCGTCCGACACTGTGATCCTGGCGCCCAACACCACGTTATCCGGTATTACTTTAGCCACGGCTTCCGTGATCTCGACGCCCAAACGGATCCGGTTTTGCAGACTTCCGCCGTATTTGTCAGACCTCTTGTTGGTCAACGGAGACATGAATTGGTGGACAATATATCCATGTGCGAAGTGCAACTGTATGACCTACAGGTGCCCAATAATGGCATAAATAGAAGCAAAACATAAACAAATAGTTCACAAAATAATCAATATTTCTATAATTATTCAAATGATGAGTAATTTTTGGCTATAATTGCAAACCAATGGCGAGGACTGACCTCAAAGCCCGCCTTAACAGCCCTTTCGGCCGCCGCCACGAACTGTCTCTTAATCTCTTCAATGTCTGCATCGGTGGCCGCTTTCGGCACTTTCCATATGCTCTCGCTATCATATGCCAGAGCACTGGGAGCCACGGTATCCCAGCCCCCGTCCTCATTCCTAATGGAGTCTCCCCCCTCCCAACCCGTCTTACAGCTACCCTTCCGGCCCGAGTGGTTCAGCTGAATGCCGGCCACACCTCCGTAAGCCTTAATCTGTTTGACAATCCGGGCTAACGGTGCGATGTGTTGGTCGCCCCAAATGCCGTTGTCTTCGGGACTAATGAGTCCCTGCGGGGAGACGGCGGTCGCCTCGACGACTACCAGTGCGGCGCCGCCTAATGCGAAACCCTGCAAGTGTCCCAAATGAAAGTCAGTGGCCATACCGTTCTCGCTGGCGCTCATTGTCATCGGCGACACACATATCCGGTTCCTGAATGTCACACCCCTTATGGTCAACGGCGTGAACAACGCCGGTGTTGTTGTCGTGTTTTTGCCGCCAGTCCTCAAGCGGTTCCTCTTTTGCTTATTTTTTGGATTATTATTAGTGTTATTACAGAGAAATGTGTCCAAACTTATGACACAAATGACACAAACGACTAATAAATTAGTTTTCAGATTCATTTTTATCGGAGAAAAAACTTCACTTTTAATGCAAAAAACTTTAGCGAAAAATGAAGCCTCGATTCAAACGTCCGATTGCTGTTAAAGTTAGTGAGACTTGACTTAACACTAGAAACACGTATTTCTCACAGACTTTTCGTATCGAAATTGAGTTCAACGGCAAAAACGGCTTTAAAAGTCTTTGTAATATTAATAATCTGGATGTCCTTCCCACAGCTAAAGTCGCACTTATTATGCACTTATTTTTGCACTTATTTTTGCACTTATTATGGGGACAGGTATGTTATAGTAGTTATGTATGTATGCATTATTCCTATTTCGAGGCCTTAATGTTGCGTAAAAAATAAAATTTTTATTTATGTTATAAAAATAATTTGAATGCAATTTTGATTTTGTGTAAAATAATTATTACTTTTCTCTCTCACAGGCTCTTAAGGCCAACACTTTTGCCGCTTATCTGTCAAAAGAGTCACTAATTTTCTGAATTAGCGTTATATCAGAGAAAGTGTTTGTATTATCACAGCATTTGAATAATTATTTTGATTTAATTGACAAATTGAATGATAAAAGTTAATCAAAATGTTTCTCTAGTGACCCTCACGTATAATACAGAGTACATAGACTCCAAGGTTTTTTATGGGCTATATTTATAAGCTAGTTTTTACAAGCTTGCTGATTGTACCCGGGTTATTTACGCTATTCGGGTATATATTACTAAATGAAAGGACACTGACACTCTTATAATTTAGTAACATTTTCGCATAACACTGCACATTCGTTACACACTTTTTGAGATTCACTATAGATTATGAATTTAGTTTATTGTTGCTTTTTAAAAATTAAATTCAAATTTTTTAAACCTTTATATTTACAAAAAAAATTGTAGTAATGTCTAGATTGAATTAGTATTTCACAAAATATGGGCACTTATTGTAGTAAAACCCGAAAGAAAGACAGTTCACAGATAGAGAAGGCCGTCGTTGACAACTGTCCCGTATGTGTGGACACAATCAAACTTAAAGTGATGACCACTACGTGTTTCCATCACTTCTGCATGGATTGCATTTTCACGAGTCTATTGCATACAAACAAGTGTCCCGTTTGTCGCACTCTATGCACCAGTATATGCGGGTTATGGCTATCGGGTGCTAAACTTAGATTCAATACAGGGGTCAGGGGTTGCCACTTTTGACCTTTTGACCTGTGGGCAGTCACAGCATTTGATCGAAAGGTCAATATCATATACCAACTCTCGTATATTCCGCCCAAATCTCACCTTTTAATGGACACAAAGCTCCGGTATGTGGAGGTTATGGTGGNACTTCATCATTTGGTTAACACTGAGAATCCGTTTGCTATGGATTTGGTTTGCAATGAAATACAACCAATACTTCACTAACACTAGAGTACACGTGTTTCACAATTAATTAGATTTATTTGTTATAATTAAATATTCTATTGTGATTAATGTAATTAAATTAATCATTGACGTTTGAAAAATAGTAATTATTGCATGTATTGTCATATACTTCACCAATCCATGTATGTATGCTTTCTCTCTCCCTCTCTCTCTCTCCCTCCCTCTCACACTCACTCATAATCACCACTATATCTACAGCAGTTAACCAGGATGTCTACAACACTTATGTTGGTGTTGTCCCTGGTGTCTATGTTGTCAATTCTGGTTTCATACGAGAACTAAATACCCGGGCGCTCATTATGACTGCATTACTGGTCTCCTCAGCTATATGTCACTGGTTTGGTCTGAACGCCCGGCCCAACACATCCAACGTATAACCGGCCAATCCGTCAGCATTTATCATATACTTATAGTTATCAACAAAACTTATGACTAAATTAATTGTCTCACAATTCCTACACTTTTCATATATTCTGTATCATAAGTCTTACGACTGATTCAATAAAACAATATTTTTATATAAAATCTCTTTTATTCACTCAATGAACAGTACATTTAAATCGCAATATAATAGTAATTATAATAACTTTTGCATAAATGATATAAAAGTTTATTAGTTTTTCTCTGTATTCAAAGTACTGATAATGTGCTGAACACTGAACACAATAGCACTCAATCCGACACAAGTGTTGATGACAGCAATAATCCAATTGAATTCATATAAGTATTGCATTTTACGGCTTTCAAGGCCTGACCTACTGTTCCAATACATCAATAACAGGCCAACTGTTGTATAGATAATGCCGAGGGTTAGACCGATGAGCATACGGAACACTATGGGGGTGTCATCAATGATCTTAGGACTGAAATGCTCAATTATCTGTTCATAAGTTTACCATGTTAATTAATATAAGCATTTATTTAGTATTGCATAAAATGAAGACTTTACCAGGATAATAGCCAAACATATTACGAGTAGTGGTCCGACAAATGCTGACAAAATAGACTTCATTGCAATCATTTTGAATTATTTAAAAATTGTTTTATACAGTACTCCAGTAGTTAATGATTATAATTATTTTAATTAACACCACAGAGATTATTGATGCAAATTATCAATTAGAAATAGATACAACAAAATGATAGCATAATAAGGATATGATTTAATAATTAAAAATGACAAACATTTAAAAATAGTAGTAATGAAACATTTATTAGTAATGAAAGTAATATTCAAATTATGTGTTTAAAAAATAATTTCATTGAATGCGGTCTCAATTGCAATGCAAAACCATTACCATTGAGAACATCATTAATAAAATAAATATTTAAATGACAAAACTTATGAAATCATCACTACATGGGGAACAGTATGTGAGATGAATCAGTTAAGTGGAGAGATTTTTATTTTATGATAAGCCCATAACAACTAATACATTCACAATTAATTATTTATATACAAAACAAAACAAAATTCACAATTAAACCCACAATCAAATGAATTACCCATTGAATTAACACTGATAGGTGCTGGGTACAAATAAAATTACTCATAATTATTATTCACCAAATCCCTGAACTTGGAGTTAGAGATCACATAACCGTAATGTTTGGGGAAGAGGTCGGGCTGTTGGACGCCCAACATATCTGCCGCATGGTATGGCCAGTGAGGGTTGTTTAGGAAGGCCCGGCCCAACATCACCATCGATGCCGTCCCATTGGCCACCAATTGGTTGGCGTATTTGGGACTAAACACACCGCCGATGACGGACGTCACGAGTCCCACCTCTTTCTGGATGCGCTCGGAGGCGGACAGTTGTACGGCGTAGGTGTCGATGCGATTGTTGGGGTCCCAGGGGGTCAGACCGCTATACCCGCTGCAGTCAACCCAATCCAGTCCCTTAGGCTTCAACTGTTTGGCGAACTCGACGGTCGACGGTATGTCCCAACCGTTTTTCACGCCGTCCGACACTGTGATCCTGGCGCCCAACACCACGTTATCCGGTATTACTTTAGCCACGGCTTCCGTGATCTCGACG